ACAACAAAACACCATGACCAAGACAACTTATAGAGAAAAGTATTTATTTGGGATCTTGCTTGCAAGTTAGTTCATCATCATCAAGGTGGGAAGCATGTTGGCAGACAGGTAGGCAGATGTGCTACGAAAGCAGTAGTTGAGAGCTAATGCAAGCTGTATGCAGGGAAAGAGAGAGACTGGACTGGTTGTGACCTTTTGAAGCCCGAATGCCCACCCCAGTTACATACCTCCTCCAACAAGGCCACAGTTACTCATCAAAGCCACACTGCCTAATCTTTCCCAAACACTTCCACTAAATAAGGAACAACCATTCAAACTATGGGGGCCATTCCCATTCAAACCATTACACAGTCCATTTTATATATTGAGACAGAATCTGTCACCGAGCCTGGGGTTATTGGTCTAGCTAACCAGCTGGCTCCAGGGATTTCCCATCTTTTTTTTTTTTTTTTTTTTAATTTTTTAACTTAAATTTGAAATAACAATCTGTTTACATGTCAATCTGAGTTCCTGCACCCTCTTGTCCTCCCCTGTTTCCCCCACCAAACCCTCAACCCATCCCCTCTCTGCTCCCCGGGGAGCTCACTTCCATAGGAAGACTTCAAAGTCTGTCATATCATTTGGAGCAGTGCCCAGGCCTTCCCCCATGTGTCTAGGCTGAGGGAGTATCCCTCTATGTGGACTGGGCTCCCAAAGACAGTTGTATACTAGAGATAAATACTGATCCATTACCAGAGGCCCCATAGACTGTCTAGTCCTCCTAACTAATACCCACATTCAGGGAATCTGGGTTGGTCCTATGCTAGTTTCCCAGCTGTCAGACTGGAGTCCATGAGCTCCCCCTTGTTCAGGTCTTCCCATCTTCTTTCCAAGGCAGGTCATCACATCTGTCTGCCGGTAGGAGAAACTGTGAGCCAGCCTACTCATGACTCAGTCACTGCCCAGGTTCCCAGGCCGGCCTGTATGAGCATGCACTGCAGGTACTTCCTGCCTGAGCCGAGAGATGGCTGACAGAGAGACACCTACCAGAGACGCCAATGAGAAAGGGTTAACACAGCAGGGTCAGCTGCCTGAACCAATGGGACCTTGGGATGGGGTATAAAGGCAGATCTAACTTCCTGAATAAAGGAGTCTGCAGCATGCTCTGTTACTCTACTCCCTGACACGCAGTGCCTGAATCAGCTTCTCACCCCCTCCCCCCAGGGGTGTCTGCTCTGGGTCACCTGAAACATCTGGTTTTTACATGGGTGTTGGGGATCTGAACTTCAGTTACCAAGCTTGTACTAAAAGCAGTTTTCCCACTAGGCATCCCCCAAACCCCAGTGATTTGTTTTGAACAGCTGTGAGACCCATGGAAAGTTGAGGCTTAGGAAGAATGATAGCACAGCATACACACTGTTCAGCTATTTAACCAAGAGCCACTGGCATGGGAAAACTGAAAAGTTCACCCGTGAGCCTTAGTGCACCCTCCAGTGCCACAGGACTTTTCTCAGAATGACCCAGACTAATTTCCTACAAAACAGGAGGGATAAAAGAAAAGCAACCGCTGTTGGTAACAGCAGCTCCTCTCCTTCATTGCAACAGGTGAGCCTAGAGCTTCATAAATTTTATTTGGAGTGATCAAGCATAGCTGATATGTCTTACTTCCTGATTTCTTAGCTGTGTATCTAACCAATTGCAGGTTAATAATATCCAGGAAGAAAGTGCAACTTCCTTGTAATATCAGGCAAAGATTTTTTTAAAAAGATTTTTAAATTACCTTTTATTTATTTATTTATTCTTCATTTTACATGTAGATCCCAGTTCCCTCTCCTTCCTTCCCTCTCTCCCTCCCTCTTACTCTCTCTCCACCTCACATGTACCCTGACCACCCTCCCCTCCCGTCCCCCCACCCCCATTCGACATGTAGGGCTATCCAGGTGGGATCATGGAAATCTGTCAAGTCATTTGAAGTAGGGACTAGGACTTCTCTCCTGTCTCTAGGTTAAGACAGTATCCCTCCATGGAGGATGTGTCCGCAAGGTCCTTTTGTGCACCAGGAATAAATACATCCTGGTTCCTTAGACTGCCCAGTCTCTAGCTGAGACCCATATTCAGGGGGTCTGAGTCAGTCCCATGCTGGACTGTCTCAGTCTGGAGGGGGCATTAGCTCCTCCTTGTTCGGGTCAGCTGTCTCTGTGTGTTTCTGCAACCTGGTCTTTTCCTCTGTCTTTTCATCTGGATTCTAGTTCGACTCAGTGTTTAGTTGTGGGTGTTTACTTCTGTTTCCAACAGGTACTAGATGAGGGCTCAAAGATGGTATATAAGTTAGTTGTTGATATCACTATCAGGGAAGGATATTTATGGTAGCCTTTCCATGGCTGCTCAAATTGTTAGTTGGAGTCAGTCTTGTAGGTCTCTAGACCTTTCTTTAGGTTCACTTTTCTCTTCAAACCAATAATGGCTTCCTCTTTTATGTTTGTGCTCTCTCTCTCTCTCTCTCTCTCTCTCTCTCTCTTCTCTTCTTTCTCTCTCTCTCTCTCTCTCTCTCTCTCTCTCTCTCTCTCTCTCTCTCTCTCTCTCTCTCTCATTTATTTACTCTGCCCAGAAAGGGGGCTGGAACTATAATCTGAGCAGAGTTCTACTTCTACTTGCATTTAGAGAGTATGTGGGGTTGACTCTCATCTTCTCTACTGCATAGGAGTTACTCTAACACTGTATCACAAGCCCAGTGACTGATAAGAAAAAAGAAATGTATTTCTCACTGTTCTTGAGGTTGGAAGGGTATGAAGTTCTATAAACCTTATAAGAAAATGCTGGGTAGTTGACTCAGTGGTAAAGTGCTTACCTAGAATACATAAGGCCCTGGTTCAATTCCAATTGGAGGGGGGAAAAGCAATAATTAAAAAGAAAGTAACTTATTAAAGAAACTTTCAGAGATAACTGCATCAAATGTAAATCAAAATAGAAGCATTTCCTTTTTAAATGAAGCTTTTGTAGTGGAGGTAACTCAGTGGTAGGAATTTGCCTAACATGCCCAAGGCCCTGGGTTTGACCTTTAGAAGCCCCTGTACACACACACACACACACACACACACACACACACACACACACACACACACACACACAGAAAGAGAGATGGAGGGAGAAAAAACTTTTTTCTTTCTTTTTTTTCTGTGTAGCATTGGAGCATCCCCTTTCACTAGCTCTGTAGATCAGGCTGGCCTTGAACTCTGGGACATCCCCCTGCCTCTGCCTCTAGAGTTCCAGTGCCGGAATTAAAGGCATCCACCACTACTGCCTGGCTAGCTTTAATTTCTCTATCAGACTATCACAATCAAAATGAATTATCCTATGTCAGGAACTTAAAAGATCCTTAGTAGTGACATGCTGACTGAAGGTTTCCCAACTATTACAAATAACTCCACTATCCACAATAGTTCAAAGGTGTGCGTGTGTGTATGTGTGTGTGTGTGTGTGTGTGTGTGTGTGTGCACGTTTGTGCATGTGTGCATGTGTGTTACTGTGTTCTTCATCAATGACAACTAAGCCTACTAAATACAGTGGGAAAAGGCAAGTTGTAGTAGTGTTTTCCTTCTATTTATACATTTGTATTAATAGGCATTCAAGCATATGATTATACACAAATCATTGAGAATATCTTGTTCTTGCCATGGTTTCTCTTTTACGCATGACATCAGACAGGACTTTCTTACAGTGATAGAACAAATTGTCCAGACACAGTAAACAGAAGCCATCAGACATATGTGTCTTTCTGAACTAGTACATACTCACATCTTTCCATACTGAACTACTGTCTGTGAATTGCTCTAGATACTGCCTTACATACCTGCCTTAGAGTCTTCCTGGTGTGAAGGAACTGGCAATTAAAGGCATGCATACTTCAGCAAGTAATATTTTGTGAACAGAGAAAACCTGGCCATTCTATGAAGGACATGAGGAAATCCTGCCTTGTCTTTTTACCTTCCTATTGTCCTTGAGTCCCACATTCTCTCAGAATTACCATCAGTGGCCTAGAATGAACTAGTTAGCTCTGTTTCTTTCTTCCCTGAATGGATACTAGAATAAGCATGCTTTGTATCTACATACTTACCCTGCTCTAGGTGAGAAGTTGGAGCCTATGTCGACTTGCATGAGCCTGAAGTTAAAGACCTAGTTACCATGCCCTCTGAAGCAGCACCAAAAGAGGGAAGGGAAAGTTCCAGAAAGTTCTCTAAAAACTCACACTTGAGAAAATGTAAATACTATTATCTTGAATATTTTTCAACTGACATTTCAGAAAAGTCCATGGATATTTTTGTGAGGTACAATTGTGTCATTGCCCCCCCCCCCATTGATAGATAGATATTTAAATAGTAAGACTATTCTTCCCAAATTAATCTGCTTGGTTTTCAAAAGCCATGAAAAAGATGAGACACTAAAGAAAATATAATGTTAATTGGAAGCGAATAATTGTATTCACATTGCTCAACTTCCACGTTTCAAGCCAGCTAGTTAAGCACTTCTGAGTTTCACTGCTGTTACTATTTGTTGTCCTGAGAAAAATAATAGCGCGAAGACATGAATACTATCAACACATTTGTTTCTCCCCCAAATCCCATCATAGGTAAGTTTGTTTCTGTTTTTCTAGGTGAAGGATAATCGGATAAACTGAGGCAAGGAGCAGCACCTACATCGCACACCAGCATTCTCTTAAAACATTTCTCTTTGAACTAGATGAAATGCAAGACAATTCTCTCCTTGAAATGCGGAGAATCCTGGGCCACGAAACGTGCTCAAGCCCTGGCAAAGGCCATGGCAGAATGCTTAACCAAACCTAGCACAGCAAGTCCAGCTGGCCAGAACAGCTATAACCTGGGCCCGAGAGCATGCAGAGATGCCTCCGGAGCCTTTGTTAGGATACCCAGGGGCTCCTGCAGGCGCCAAGAGCCACCCCAAAGGGACGAGGTCATGCGGCCGCGATGCTGCGCATGCGTGGCCCAGGCAGCCTTGGCACTTACCTGGTGCGCTGGGTGAGGAGGTGCAGGACCAGGAGAAGTAGGGTGGCGGTGAAGAGCAGGCCCGGGAGGGCGAGCAGCCCCGTCCAGGTCCCGCTGGCGTCTGGTGTTGTGGCTCCTTCCATCCCGACACGCCGGAGGCTCTGTAGGAAGCGATGGCTTCTGAAAGGTGCCCTCTCCACCCCAGCCTCTGGCCTGCCAGTGGCGCCGAGCAGAATGTCTCCGCTGTCCCTGAAGCTGAACTAAAAAGTTAGTGGAGTCCCCTCCCCCCTCCCCACCACCCCCTGACCCAAGCGCACCGCCTTGCACCGCCTCCGGCTCCAGGGGCAGGAACCCTGCCAAGGAAGAGGGAAAGGATTAGGATTTTCCCCAGATGGAGCCATGGCGTCCTGCAGGAAGGGGGTTTTGTTTCTGAGTCAGCAGTGAGCCCACAGGAGGGACCCTGCCTGAGGCCTCTCCGCCTCCACCAGGCTTGGGACTAGACCCCTGTGACGCAGGCCTTGCTAAACTGCTGGAACACACTGCAGGATATGCTCCCCACTTCCTTCATCAACATCCTAGTATGCTTAGATTGAGGTTGAGGGCGTTATGTGTACAACGGCTCGCACCAGACACTCCAAGGAGGTCGGGCCATCTTCCTCCCGAAGGACTGCTGAGGTGCACAGCCCAGATAGAAGCCACAGGTAAAAATAAGCAATGGCAGGAAGGAAGTGTACAGTATGTTGTACAGGCAGAGAAAGAAGGTACTTGGAAAGTAGTTTCTCATGGTTCAGTAGATACAGGCTTGAGGCTGTCAAACCTCAATAGATAAAGTGAGCTGGGCTGAGGAAGAAATCTGATGTTAACTCCAGAAGGAGAGCTCACACCAAACACGAAGCATACCCTCCCACACCACCACCACCACCAGGCACGCACGTACTTTTTTTCCCTGAGTAATGACTACCCAGCCAATATTTCACAGGTTTACTCTCAAAACTTGTGATTGAGTTTTAACAGTATTTCACAGAAAGTATCAGGATATTCAAGTTGTTCTATGGATTCATTTGATGAGTGTGTACCCTTCTAATTAAATTCTACTCCAATCCTCTATCTGCACAAGACACAGTTTATGCCCTCACCCAGACCCTGTACTATTATGACTAACAGCTTCAAAATTGTTTTCTGTGTCGCTCAGTTTTTACACAGGTCAGCTTTTACCCTGTTCCAAACTCTGAAAGAGATAAATGCTCAGTGTGCAATGAGAAGTGTTAATCCCAAAGATGCAAGGAGAAAGGTCACCAACACAAACCATCAGGACCAAGTTAGTTAAAGCAAGCTTTTTTATACGTGTAGGAGGGCTACCTCCCTCTAGGGTGGGGTTTGAAAGGTCACTATTGGACTTGAGGAAGACAAGAATTTTGTAGCTCAGAGTAGGGGAGTTCCAACTGGGGTTGGGGGGGGTAGAAAAATGGGCAGGGTTATAGAAGCAAAATATAATAAGACAGTCAGAACAAGGTAGTCATAACCTTTCGAAACAATGGTCATTATAACTTTTTGAAACAACAGGTGATCATATAACCTTTTGAAACAAAGGCATAGTTGCTGTTTCCTGGACAGACAGTACAGAGCCACTTGTAGTTCAGGTAACAAGTAGGGCATAGCTCAGTCCTTTGAGAAACAAGAGATTTAACAGTAAACAGGAATGAACACAATTTGCCTTTATTACAAGATGTCTTTTAAGCCTAAAATGGAGACAGGCTACTTCATCACAAGGCCTCCACATTTTGTCTCCTTGTTCCAAGTCACTTTGCTATGACAATTTCCCTGGAACTGATACCTGAGCCATTTTATCTTCCACATCCCACCCACACACTCATATAATTAGGAGTTCCTTCTGCCTGAAAACAAAATGTGCCCTCTCCTCTAAATGTTCACATTATTCCCACCTATCAAAGGCAAGCTCTAATTTTACCGTTTAAGGCTTTTTTATTTTTGTTGTTGTTATTGTTTAATTGTTTGTTTCATATTTTGAGACTATGTCTTATCATGCAATACAAGTTTGCTTGAAACGCCCTATGTAGAGCAGGCTAGCACCAACCTAGTGGTGATACTCCTGGCTGCTTTCAGAGTGCTGGAGTTACAGATGTTTGCCTTGTTTAAATCCTCCTCTCCTCATAAATTGTCCAAAATTCTAGTTTTAGTGTTAATCTTTTCTTCTAATACATGGTTTCCACTTTCATCCCATTGAAATTATTTTCCATTACATCTGCTATTTCTATGTCTGTTTCTCCTTTTATAATAGGTAGATACTGTGTTAGAAGAAAAAGAATAATTTTTATACAACTAAGCACATCAAGGAACAAAATAGATACCAAATATTGCTTTCACTATTATTTGTTGTCTATTCACAATTCACATTTTTAACTAGAGAATCTATGTATTTTGTTTGTTAAATCTGAAAATCCTAGTTCAGTTCCAACATGGATTTATATTGAAGAGCTATGAGAATTGTGTGAAGACTACCTACCAGTTCCCTTCAGAAGTTAGCCACAATTATTTCACCTTCGGTTTTCAGCAAATCTTGTGCACCTTTAACACTCTAATTAGACCACATTCAATAGCCAAATCTAAAGAAGCCATCATGGCTTGGCTTTAAGATCTATGGTCTCAAAAATGGAAGTGTTTTCAGAATTAGATGACAAATCATATCTTATCAGATTACACCAATGAAGGAGCACAGACAAGGAGAAGCAAAACTGGAGTAAAAGCAGAGAGAGTCAAGGGAAAGGGAAATACATCTGAGTCTCAGAAGAAGCCATGGATATAGGATGCTGTTCACATCAGATTTATCTATCACATGACTATCACAGTACTGTAGTTTAGATGTGGTTGATCATGAAGGGCCTTCATGTGATGGTAGGATCTTTGAGAAATGGGGCATTCTAAGCTTGTGGGAAATGAAACAAAATGTACTACTGTCTTTTCTATTAAAGGATTAAATTAGGCAAAACTCTATTTTAAAAAGGCACATGAACTCAGCATGTTTTTATTTTTTTCTCTCTCTCTGTAGTTTTGTGTGTGTGTATGTGTGTGTGTGTGTGTATGTGTGTGTGTGTGTGTGTGTGCAATGACTGGGATTGCATGATAAAACATGTGCATCTATACTATTATATACATATAAAACAATATTGTTTCTATAAACAATTGTAAAGATTACGATGCATATATGTATATACACACACATACATAACAATCAAAGAAAAAGAGGCTTTCAATTTGAAAGAGCATGGTGGATACTGGAGGGGTTGGAGGGAAGAGACAGAGGGGACTGAAGGGAAAGGAGAATGTGATATAATTTCATTACAATTTAAAATGTAAAACAATAAAAATACACAATCAAAAACATCTAACAGAAATATTTCCAGAGTCAGAACTTTTAAAGTAAAACAAAACAAAACAAAACATTTAAGCCATACTTTCTGGTGAACATTGCACTATGCTTATTATCTATGTTGCTGTAGCCACTCAGGTAAGATTGTGAGGCCAAGATCAGAGGCTTTGAAGGCTTCTGCTTAGAAATAAAAACCCAGAATGACTCTATTTCCACCCCAGATTGGATGTGTTTTCCTGTATGCTTTGGAGTTTTAATCCTTTAATTGGTAAGGAAAAAGAAGAAGAAGAAGCTCACCAAGACCCCTATTGACTAACAACACTATCTATAGTTGGGCCCCTACTAGAGTTCAGCCAATGGGAGCTTGAATTTCCAGTCCCTGAAATTAAGCTAAATATTTTTTTTTCTTAACACAGGATCTAGCCTCAGGTTATTTAGTTATACAAACAAAAATGGACAGATGCAGGTGGCCAATACATTCTCTCTGTACTAGTGGTTGAATCTGGGGCCAGCTGTTCTAATAAGGGGAGCCACTTTCTACCCCCTTGCTCTCTTTCAAATAGGGCATTAAGGCTGAAATTGTGGCCCTCCTTCCCTTCAGAACTTCTCTTTTGATTCTCAGGGTCCTATTTGATATTTGCCCCAAATGAATAACGGATATTCCATCCTACTTTTCAACTTTTCTAATTCTACTGATCAGACTCAGAGATTCTACTACACTGAACTAATCCTACCTCTGTAGGTAGGCATAAGTGTATGTCAGGTCCACAGACTACATTTGGTTCGTTGGATCTGTAAAACATAAATACATTGTCTTTCTTCTTTCAAAGAAGATGGGATGAAGTGAGCAGAAAGCAATAGTAGATAAGAGTAATAAAAAAAAATAACTCAACATGTGATTGTGGAGTAGCAATGGGAGAATTTAATAGCATGCACCGATACGGTTTGAGTTTTCCCTCAAGCAGATGGTATGGTAAAGATCTGGTACATGACTGATTCGGGAGCACTGTGGAAGCCTAGTGCAATGGAAACTCCCTAGAATCTGCGAGGGTGACTGATGAGTTATGTTCTTCTGTATATATGTTTCTTTTATTGGTTGATGAATAAAACACTGATTGGCCAGTAGCCAGGAAGTGCAGGTGGAGCTACCAGATGAGGAGAATTCTGCACACAGGAGGCAGACAGAAGCTGCCAGAGGGACAGTATGTAGCCACCGAAGGAGTAGCAAGTCTGGCTTTCTCCAGTATGCCAAGACCACCTAGAAATACTTGCTTTAATAGAAATGGGTTACTAATTAAGAGAGAGCTAGACAATAAGACGTTTGAGCCATTGGCCAAACAGTTTGTAATTAATATAAGCCTCTGTGTGTTTATTTGGGACTGAAGGGCAGTGGGACCAGGTAGGAAAGAAACTCCATTTACAGGTGACCCTCGTGATGGGGTACACGGACCCTGAACTGGATATCTTCTGTAAACAGGCAAGGCTTCCAATGGAGAGACTGGGACACCAACCCAGTCCCAAAACCCTTGGCTTACAATTTGTCCTGCTTACAAGATGTGCTGGGGTAATTGTGCCACAGAACTTGTGGGGCTGCCCAACAAATGACTGGTCCAACTTGAGACTCATACCACAAGAGGGAGCACATGCCTGACACTGTATGGAGGGCCAGAAACTACACACAGGACAGCCCAGAGACTCAAACATTTCTGTGGGGATGTGTGAAAGTCAACTAAATGATCCATAAATATACTCTGTTTTACTTACAGTCCAGAGCCTAGCA